ACAGCTATACACTCGCAAGTACGCTAGATACGACGTTCTACTGGTGAGGTTCTGCACTCCCAAAATTATACGGTTTACAGTGTATCTATCAGTTTTTAATTGAAACAAATATTTTTAATCAGGACGCTGGAAGTTTGCAACAATTAGATATCAAAGTAGGTTAAAAAGCAAACAAATTCGGTATTTTAAGAGGAAACCTTTTGGATGTGAGTTGTGAAATTACTCTTGATAATGTGAATAAACTGCGATTGACATTAGAACCTTCACGTATGCGAATCTCTTCATTGCCAGATTGCTCAGCATTCTCACTGCCAGCCAAGTCAACTATATTCTAAACAGTTTCATTTAAATGCAGCATCAACACAAGTTGCAATCAATTCAAATCGATGTACATTCTGTATGCCTCCTCTGAAATCATAAATAAGAACATCCGCTGGGGACTATTTCGTGAACCCATTGCAGAAAGATCCTCATCTGAACTGACTTTGATCACTAACCTCCACCAATACTTCTCCGCTCCCATTCGAGATATTAATCTCAACTACTATCTCGATTGCTGATCCTGCACAACCATGAATCAAACCGTGAAAGACGCTCTAATGATATGAAACAGACGAATGCAACATACCAAATAAGCTATGTACGAAGCAGTGCTGTCCTTCTGCGGCTTGTCATCATAACTCTCAATGATGAAACGAAGTATCGCATGAGAACGAGATGACAGCTCATTCATAGACGTTTCACCGACTGCACGACGTTCTGAAAACATTTCGTATATCCTCATATTAACATTTCCAATTCATTTTTCTACATTTCAACAATAAATAATCTTTTTGTCCAGTTCAATAAACAGTCCTTTCACTTGTTTTTCAATTAATGAGCTTATCTCATTTACAATTGGAGCTGCTATTGGTTTGAACTCATTTGCTACCTACTTCTGGATATCTGAAAACCAAATGATATTGCAATGATCTCATGAAATCCTAGAGATTCACTCCTACATTAGTAAACGAAAATATTTATTAACATGATGATGAAAAGGCAAATAGTAAAGAAATTATACAGGAAAACATAGATGTGACAGACGACATTAATGATTGCTGAAGTGAGCATGAAAGAAGACTTATGTGACTGAATGAATCCATCAATGCGCATAACACAATGGATAAAAGTAAGAATATTGGCAAACAATGCTATACTAACAATGATGATGATATTACCAACTAACCAAAAGCAGCTTGAATTAATAAGTCCACTGCAGAACGATCAGTAATCACCTCCTCAACAATGCCACTAACAACAACATTTCCCTTTATTTCAAGCAGAGCCAAATCAGTACGATCTGATAATAAATCACGAACGCGTTCATTGTAGATCTCTACACACGACATACGCAATAAATAACGTCTTGATCCACCCTTAACGATGATAATTTTATCACGGATACGATTACAGTTAACATTTCATTAGAGCATATTATGCAAATAACTTGATGCTTTCCACAATTCACTAGCACCTCCTCTGGCAATAAAGCATTCTTTAACAATGAAATTGTGAACTAGTACGCTTATTCATGCCTTTAAGATGTATCACTAAGTGCTGGACATATCTACAGTAAACCATTCCAGTGATTTATGTGAAAAAGAAAATGGTTAATGACACGTTTAAGAACAGGAAGACAGATTTCTTAAAATGGACAAACCGATTCAATGGTAGAAAAGATAGTATCGACAGCCATCTGCACAACACCATCGTTATATTTATCACCAAATATGGTATAAGTTTTACCAGATGCAGTTTGACCATACGCAAATATAGTAGCATTATAACCAGACATTGCCGACTTAACTACTTCCTGAACACAACCGGTGTAGACGTCTTCAGTACGCGACATAGCATCGTAAACATGATCTGTAACAATGAGCTCAAATCATTGAGTAAAATGGAACAAAACATAGGTGCATCACAACTAAATAAACCATCAACAAACCGAACGTGTAACTCTCTTTTCCATCTGTTCTCTGAATTGACTGCCCACATGGGGCACACCAATTTGTTTTGAACATATTTTCTCTGCAAGTAAAACATTTTTAAATCATATTCTATGGGAATATTTTTTCGGATGATACCATTTTCTTGCAAGTATTTTTTGAATACACAATCAACAAGTCAATTCCTTTGAATATATTAGTCAGATTTTCGATTATATTTATATTATTACTATCACAACGACGGAGCAACATGCTGCTCTAAATTCTGTCATACGTACATGCGCATATTTTAAAATACTCGAATGCTGAAAGTTTATATTTTATCATGCAATATGACGTTAGAGCCACAACAGAAATACAACAAATGCTTGGTGATCATATCCAGCTCAAATTGAATGTGGCTAATGTGAAGCCTCCTTCAACACCAACGAACAGTGTTCCACTAGGCAATATTCGGAAACAATGTCAATGCCATAATTCAGTAGGACATTTGTAGTGAAAAAACCTTTGTATGGGCGGCCTCAACCTAACGACCACTCTGATGGCATCTTCCGTTGTTACATCACCGTCGGATGACATGTTTACCACTCATTCACTGGTTACTTTCTTCAACACCTGCAAATTAAAAAACCAGTGAAATTTCATTGTGCTCTCTTTACTTACAGCTTAAATGCAAAAAACAACGAATTTTTCATTCAGAAGAATCACCAAAATTTATAAATATATCTTCGACGATAAAGGCCAATTGAAGAAGTAAACGGCGCTCTTTTTTGCAAGAGACCTTTAAATTCTTATACTGACGTACAAGAGCTCAGGTTTCATCCACATTACCTTCACTAATGTCATCCAAATTTAGCGGCAGTCACGCGTCTCAATTTATTTCAAGCCAGTTTACGCAGAAATTTACCACTCTTTCTGTACACGAGCAATAAGTCCCTACAATGAGACGTTGCCTCAGGCTCCATCCATACAGCACCTATCGGTAAATTTCAAATTTCATATGCGCGCCATTTCCTGGGAGTGTGACGTTTCTTCGAAAAGTTGATATTCGCAGATAATTCATTCGTTCAATTTCTACATGGACGCTATAGACTGATTGTTCCACTGTAAATATCGTGCTAAGGGAATACCTTGAATAACTTAGCAACAAGTGATGTTGATCAAATCGAAATATGGTGATGGATCAAATTTGGACTTANTTAGGCGAAGGCTAATGCTCATATCAGGCTGAGTTGTCTTTTAATAAACTGGTGGTCCTATCGCACTGCAGTAAGGTTCCTATTCAGTGTGAGCCTAAGCTTGAACCAAATGTAATCTACAGCGGTGTCTTACTTTGATTACCGCCACTCCTGATATATTTTTGGCTTGAATGAGTATCGCTTTTATTAAGCAACATCCCTGAGTAGTGCGTAGCCTACGTATTTGTGTAAGCATCAAGATATTTGATATTATAGCGCAACAGGCTTCAGTACACCGTGAGAAACCGTCAAGTCTGCAGTTTTGGCATAAATTACGATTAGGATTTTGCTGAAGTTAAGCCTTAGGCTGCATGTGGATATCAAATGCCACCTAGTTTCTCTGTGTGTGAGAACTGGTCAGTGTGATTATACATTCATAGTGAGGCCGGTACCACTTTGCGTACTTGAACGAACTGTTTTGAGAATATCGCTTTTCGAAGAATCATCAATCAGTAGTATTTCCTTACACTCAGGATCTGCACTTGAAGCAAGTTGTCGAACTGAATTTGCTCGATAGCAAAAAGTGTTAGGATGGTTTCGGTGCAGTGCTATGCTTAACATCAAAGCCACTAAAATCCCCAACAATGTTTCGTTTTATGATTTGCCAAAATTAACAAATATTATCAAAGTATGCGTTTTAATTATTCACAACAGTTGCATGCTTGAACAGCGGAGCGAGCGGAATATCGTTTTAAAGGAATGCGGTCTGTGCAAAAAAATAATCGCAATTGATTTCGTGACACAATGCAAGATCGGGTGCAATAAGTCGTTATTCCAGTGATTTAAGTTGAAAAATTTCGAGGCATGTTTCAAGTTTTGGTTTGTGGGGCCAGGATGTAGTCTTTTGAATAGCAATGCGAGTAAAGTGTTTCCGAACATTCTCAATTAATTTACCACCTGGAAGAAGGAGCGGTAACCAAAGGGCGAATTGTATTGCAATTACCATGAAACCGAACCCGAAAAGCCATGCCTCCTTCTCTGCCCCTTTCTAGCACCCGAAATGCTGCATCGCAAATAGTACTATTGTGTGGATAGTTTCGTAGACATAAGCCTGTTGAAACGATTAGTTGAACTGTGCTAATGAACAAGAAAATAAGTAAATGAACACGACAACAAATAAAATGAACCTCGGTAACGAACTACCCACTACAACTCAGCTCTCAATAAATGAATACCTGTTTATCTATCTATCGTATCCACTCTTCATAATATGCTTAATAATGTTTTAGACGAAGTGTAATTAACTGACAAAACGAAATTTTAATAGAACAGTTCGATTTAATTCATGCGGTGCAAAAATTCAACATAAATCAAAAGCGAAATTATACATGATGAAGATCAGTTTGCCGTGGCCTTCGTTTTGTCGTTATAAATCAGTTTATCCTTATTGCTATTCTTCTTTCTGCTGTTAATGCTACAATTCTGATTGTTTATCATTAATTTTCAGTGCTATTCATCTTATTAATTTCACTATCATTAAATTGTTATTGGCTTTTGATTCTGCGCATTTATGTTTCTTAGCAATAGCTCTGCACATAACGCATAAGTAAGTTTAAAATGGCACAAACTTGTGAATGTAACCAAGCAAAACACCTCTTCTCAAAATATAAAAACCGAAATACATCACATAAGTTTTTGATTTCTATCTATCAAAATGGATGAAGTCGGCACTCTCAATGGAAATTGTCTCCAACACAATATCGCTAAACACTTTCACGACTTTATTATACGGTAAACGAATGCAATGCGTAAGCATCACTCAATTCAGAACTCTTTACACGAACGAGTGCAGTGCGAGTGGCTGCAGAACATGAAAGATGCCAACAGAAAGAGTGTCATCAAATTATCCACGGCTATGATGATAATGCTAACGCTGTCACAATAATAAAAAAAATACTCTGCTAATAACATACAAGAAGCGAGCTGAAATTCAGAAAAAATTACAAAATGAGACAGTCAGCACAGTTACGTAACATAATAGCATGTTTAAACAATTCATCGAAAGCTGATAACTGAGGACTAAACACATCGACTGTTATGGTACATCGATAGGAGGATAACTTATCGGGTGACGCATCTGAACCGCTTAATACATTCCACGAAAATATTGCGCATTTTATTTTGAAAGTTATTTTCTCGCATTATTTCATCTATTAACTGTAAGTTGTAATGAGAAATGCCAACTGAATGATACGCTTTATTATGCTTTCCATCGTTTACAGATGCAGCCAACGAAAAGATAACACATCACAGATGTCAACAACAAGCACAGCATAAAAAGTAGAAGAAGCACCATCATTTCTTGAATTGCAATATCTGAAGATGCGCTCATAGCAAAAAACATTATAAAACTTAATTTGATAAAACAATACGAATGAACAGCGGTTATATATGTATATGTATGTATATATGAATAACCATTAGGTTTGAAGCAATACCACACGAGCGATGCTTAAGTGCATAAAAATGAATGTGAATTCAATTAGTGTGAATTCAATTCCATATTAATTCCTACTTGCGAATATATCAAATTCGACAACTCCAGATAAGTGATCCAAAACTAGATAATAGCACCTGAATATTCTGAGAGTATGAGTGTCACATATGACACCAAATCATATATCTTATCAATTCAGCTCCTAGCTCTTATTTAGCTTATAATTACCACTGTCATATCTTTCGACTTTTGAGAAGATCATTAAAATCTGTGGNATTAAATAAGCGCGCAGCCACCGAACAACGCTGCTCATACCGAAATTCAGGTATGGAGAATGCACAGTGCTATTCAAATGGTGAACGAATAGAAAATAGCGAATGGAACAGCTATCGAATTTCTTCGATCAACTTGAATTCTTTGATTCAATTTCCCTTTACGAGCGCAATTAGTCCGTCTTTGTAGGCTCCGGAGCAGTCACCTTTGATCATTGACTCCAAAGACTTTTTGTAGATTTGTTGAAATTGCTGACGAATATCACCAAGATCAATCTCGGAACGAGTCACAACGATGCGTATCAAATCCGTATCACGAGTTCCCAAACCCTGCAATACAAATTCCCCATGATTGGTCCTGCGAAATGTTTCCTCATGAGAACAACCATTTCTGTTCGTACGCATTTCAACAGCCTGCTAACTGAGTTGCTTACCACTCTATCTCTATAGATTACTGGTTCTCATGCTTTCACCCATTTTATAACCTCTGGCATGCAATACTTTATAACCTCTGGGTGTGTCATAAATTGTCATTTTTCTCCTCTGATAACATACGTGATTATCTGTCACCCTAGAACTTGACGAACCTATCATAATACTTGTAAGAAATGAAATCAAAAAGGGCATTCGAAGATCAAGAAGGTTTCTATCAACAGTTCGTTGATGTTATCAAGCGAATTGTTGGAACAAACATTCAAGAAATACTGCTGAAGATCAACGAAAAAACAGTCAACAATAATCCATCAACAAAAATCTTTCCTAAAATTCCTACTTCCCAATGAGAACCACTATTGCAGACGGATATACTTATTTTCCGTTTATGTTATAAAAAGAGATTTCACCCAAAATACATACCACCATACTGTTGTAGAGCAATTTCGCGAAATAAGCCGGTCTATTCTGAACGCAAGCAACAACGGCCAAGAGACCATCCATGATATCACCGCTAAATTCGGCTTCAATCGCTCGTTCAATACCATGTTTTGCGATCTGAAAACAAATTCGACTTCAGTGCAAAAAATAATGTCGTTTCTCATGCTATACTTCGGGATGGCCTGAACAGTTAAACTGAGCAAAGCTGGAAGATGTATTCTGCTCACAACAACGTTCATAACAAACAATAAAACGCTATTCAATTATTCCATTGTTTGCTCAGATTTTTGCAGGTTAAAGATCAAATATATGTCCTGTTGAGATGCAGTTCATTCTGTTACAAACATTGAAAACTTCATCACCATAGTATGTGACATAACATTATCTCCAAATACAGAAATAAGTTCAACTCATGGTTAAAAATGCATCAGAGCATTCATTGTCCATGAGATGAATGGAAAAACCTTTTGATATTCTTGAAAAACGAGTCGAAGTTGAGCATAGTTTTGGGCGGCAATTATGGCGTTGAAACAGGATTCATCGGTACCCAAACGTCGTTCTCCGGCATTATAAAGAGCTCTCGCATCCTGGAAGAGAAGAAGTAGGAGCATTCATATGATGAGTGAGGTAATATCCTCGAAATCAAAACGGTCATTCAATGAGTATTTTTTCCCGTTGTCACGACATTTGCAAGTGAGAATTCTCAACAGCAGAAAATCTCAAATTTATGAAAAACTTTTGACGTCAGTTCGAAAATGAAAACCAAATCTATAGATGATGAACTAGACGTTACACACGATTGAATGAGAAGAGTGACAGAATCAGCAAAAAAGTAAACATGAACTCTCACGTGGTTTGCTCGAACAGGATCGACATTCATGCTCTCATCACGACCAGCGGCACACATCGATATTAATAAACGCTTGAAGTAGCCGCTCGTTTCACCAATCAAATCTTTCTCCAGTTCGTTGCGATACATTTGTCGATAAACGTTCTTTAGCTCAGCTATTTGCGCATTCGTTCGAGAGCACATGATTTCGATGAGAACCGATTCCTTTGTACCGAGACCCTGCAATGGTTCGCTTCATCATTCAACTTCAATCTCATGCTGAAAAGCAATCGAAATTCAAACTTGCATTGAACATTGAGATGGTTCAGTACTACCAATGTGGCTGTGTTAAACAATTAAGCAGTTGATTCCAACTAAACAAAACACCGTAAGATTTGTCTCAGTGAAAATAAAGTGTTCGATAATTTTGCGGGAGGACGACCAACATAGCCGGAATAGTCTTGTGTTGAAGACTGGTTGTGAGCATTATTAAAGACTGATCCTAGATAGAAGAGAAAGCGTAGATTACCTCCATTGCTTTGTAAAGTTGTTGGGCATCATACCGAGCTGGAGGCTCCATCAACGCTATAATCAGATCTTCGAAATCGCCAGTTAACTCACTTTTTAAATCTTTTATCAAATCTTTGCCGTACATAGCTTTGAATGCGGTCGCAATCTGCTGACGCTGAAATCAATGAAAGAAGTTATAAAATCATTACATAAAAAGAAGCAGGTTCATCGACCACATACCAGATATGAGATTAGGGATGCTTAAGAACATTCACGACACTCATAGGAAGGCAAATTATGAGTTTAGTATCTAACGAAGAAGTGTTGACTATGTATCACGATGAGAGGCCTTAGCTTTGAAATGAGGATATGATTCAGACTTAATCGATAACATCTTAGCATGAGTATGTAACCTGTGCATTTGATCTGGCACACAAAACGGTGATAATCTTCGTCTTATCGCATCCCAAACCCTTCATGGCCTTTCGTAACGTTTCAGCGTCTGCATTCGCATTGAATGCAGGAAATGGTCGAATTGTCGCGTTCCCTTGCATCACTCCTCAACATAATTTCTTTACACAGTTTCGACGGTCAATTATGAATTCATCGCACATATATGTCCTCATCGTTTCAGTTATCCACAAATCACTTCATGAGACATGACTGCACATCTACATATCACTCAC